CCCCTTGTATCTTTCCATGAACTGCACATTTCTGTTATTTTTAAAGAATGTGGAAAAGGAAAAGAAAAATCTCATCTCATGCTTATAAGAACTATTATAAATCTCAGCTCTTTGAAACCTTTGTTGATATTTATAGAAGCTATGTTACAAAGAACATACATAATAAAGGAGGAATAAAGTAGGGTCTGGGAGTCTAGAAAAAGCTATAATTTTTTTCCTTTAGAATGTAGCAAATCTAATCTGAGTCTGGAACTAAGTGTCCAGCCTAGGAATTCTGAATTGCAGTAGTCTGCCTGCCTGCTGCTTTCAGCCCACCCAGTTCCCATATTCTGTCAGTAAGGGCATTTTCACAACATGTTCTTTATTAAGCGTTTTACTTTTGTAAAATGCCTTGAGTTGCTAGTGGGTATGGGGGAGCCATCCTTGACCCTGCATAGTTCAAGTGATGAGCACATCAAGCTGTCCCTCCCAGCCAGGCTGCTGAAACAAGTCTGCTTGTTTTGGCAGGTCAGCAAGACCTTGGTGCTCAGCAAGACCGCTTTCCTGGGAACAGGGTGTTATTGACCTGCCTCTTCCCACACAGGGTTCTCTTTTGATCCCCTCAGCCCTCCAGGCCAGCTGAGGCCTGCTTGGGGTTATACAGGAAGTGCCCACACCAGCACCACAGTGGGGGCTGAGTGTGGTTATTATAGCCTTAGGCGTCTGCGTTCATACCAGGTTCCTTATGCCTTGTCCCAGGAAAAGAGGAGGCATACCAATAGGACCTGTTTGGAGACTGCTTGGAAGAGTTGTTTCAGGGACTGCTTAAAAGTCTCTTGCCTCCTCTGCCACTTCATTTATGTCTCTTAACTGATGTAGCCATCTTCAGGGCTCCAGCAGCTACAGGGCTTCCCCCAACCAACCACAGTTCTCCTGCCAGTACTTAGCACAGCAGAAGGAATGCCATGGGTGTCCTGGGAAGAGTGAGAAGTTGCCTGTGAAGGTGGAAGGCACTTAGGGGTGGTGATGGTGATCTCTTTCCCCTTTGAACTTGCCCTGCAGGTGTTGTTTGGAGGTGAAGAACCATCTGGAATTTTTGAGCAGCATAGTGAGCTGCTCAGACTGGGGTTTCTAAAGGTAGGTGAGCCAAAAGGGTTCGGAGAAGAGGGCTCAGGTATCAAGGAAGGCAGTGGCAGTAGCAGTGGGTATTCTGGAGTGGTCTCAGGGAGGAAGTTGGCAGAACACAAGGGAGGGCAACCTACGAGCTCGTCCAGTGGGGTGGGGACTGTGGCCCAGCTGAGGAGGAGACAGCAAATCTACTTTGGATGCTCACAGGCTTCCCAGACTGCAGGGAGAGAGACCTCAACAACTGCTGGAAGGAGGGAGCTGGACTCAGGAGGGAGGGCTGACCTAGAAGGGACCCAGCACCAAAAAAGCTGGGAGCAGAGGAACAAGTCCAGGGCCATTTTGTAGGGCAGCGGTTTTTTCAATGGAACTATTTGTTGCTCCTTCCTAAGAAGAATGTTTTATATAAGCAACCCTGTAGGTTCAAAGCCACTCCCCCAAAGGAAGGGTTCTGCTTGCGAACTGGAGCAGAGAAAACATTGCACCATCCATGGGCTTGTGAAACGTATGTCATTACAGCTTTGCAGAGGGCTTTTTTTTCTTTTTTCGAGATGGGATCTTACTGTGTTGCCCAAGTCAGCTTCCAGCCAGTGATCCTCCTACCTCAGCCACCTGAGAGGCTGCCATCACACCTGACTCAGAGAGCATTTTTGTAATATAAATCAAAAATTATATAACCTTTGACTCGGAATTCCCACAGATAGGAAGTTATCTTCCCAGAGTACTTGCACAAGTATGTAAAGATAGATGTTGGGCATAAAATGTTCTTTGCCTTTCTGACAAATTGCAGATATTCCAAACAACCATGCACAAATAATTGTGCTATGTAAAATGTGTACTTACTAACATGGAAAGACCTCCAAGGTGCATTGTTCTGTAGAAAACAAGACTCAGAACCACATTTGGTGTTTGGTGATGTTTCTGTCAAAACTCGAACAAACATGTGCATTTTAAAATGATCTGAAACCACATCATGTTATCATAGCTTATCTCTGGGACTAATTTTTAGCATCTGTCACTTTTGAATTTTTTCCCTTAAGCACCTATTCATATATGTATGTATGTATGTATATATATATTTTTTTTCTCAGTACTGGGGCTTGAACTCAGGGCCCTCACCTTGAGCCACTCTGCCAGCCCTTTTTTTTTTTTTTTTGTGATGGGTATTTTCAAGATAGGGTCTTGCGAACTATTTGCCCGGGCTGGCTTCAAACGCTATCCTCCTGATCTCTGCCTCCTGAGTAGCGAGGATTGCAGGCGTGAGTCACTGGTGCCTGGTGCCTATTTGTATTTTAAAGAAAAAAAAATGGAAAGTTGATAGGCACTGGTGGGAGGAGAGGCTACAAGCAGAGGAGAAGGCTACTAGTCCCGGGATGGGTCAGCAGGCACAGGGTAGAGACATGTATTTAAGGGGATGGAAGTTTGTGAAGGAAGATATGGAAACAGGAGGTCAATAAGAGGGGACTGCCAGGTTTAGATTTGGCTTCAGTTGATCCCATGGATTCCTTTTGCTACTAGGTTTCCAGGGGACACACTGCCCACTTGTTGCCAATTTTTTTCTGATGAAAAGCACTATACTATAAACAGAAAAGAAGGAAAGAAAGAACAAAGGAAATCTGGGTATGATTCTTAGATGCAACCCTCACTTTTTGCCTTTGAGTCTGAGTACACGTACCAGATGCCTGTTTTCTGCTGGAAGGAAGCTCTGAGTACCACCCATAGCAGTAGTATTTTTGCCCGCTCTAAAAACAAAAAACGTAGTGGGTAGGACCAAAGTGTCCTAACTTGCCCTGTTTGTAGGTCTTCATCCTTCTTGACCTCATCTCTTTGTTTTCCCTTTTAAAGTTGGGGGATGACTAACCTTGAACACAAAGGCAGGCCCATTTAGAGCTCTCTGCTTTTCTTTACTCAGTGTCTGGGCCTGATCCTTTTCTTTGGGCCTGGGTATTTCACAGTCATCTTGGCATAGCAGTTCCCACTAGGTTTGAGCTACTTCCTCAATAGCCTGTTTTCCTAGCCCCAGGACTTCTGTGCTATTTACTGCTACCAACTAGGTCAGCTTCCCCCCAGGCAGCTTCTCATATGGCTCCTTATTTCTTATCTGAAGACTGCCCCCATTTCACAAGGTTCAGCAGGTGAAGAGTGAGAACCCTGGAGATTTGGGGTTTTCAGAAATAAGCATCTTAAACATGGCCCACTTTTTGCTTTCAGAATTACATTTTCTTTTGGGCCATGTTAGGTTTGCTTTAAGAACGGGATTACTATAACTTCCTTCCACTTTTTATATTTAGGTATTTTTGTTTGTTTTTACTATGTCCTTCTAGACTAGTGATATGAATCAGTTTTCTTAAAACTATATTTTAAATTTCAAAACTTCCTTGGGACTTAAGTTTGTAACACACATGCCATCCATGTATAATGCTTTCAGAAGTACAGATGGTTTCTGTCCAGATTTGTGGAGCTGAGCTGAGACTTTAAAAAAAATTAAAATATGCTTTCTGGCTAGGGGTGTAGCTTAGTGGCAGAATGCTTGCCTAGCATGCATGAGGCCCTGTGTTCCATCTCCAGGACTGAAAGAAAAAAATGTTCCCCATTTGCCTCCTTCCAAACCATTTGCAATCCCCCCCAAGCAACCAAGATAAGGTATAGTATACTATTAGTTGTATCTCTAAATTGAGGGCATCAAATAACAAAGAGAAATATTTGCCTGATCGTTTATTCCCTAGAAGAAATTAATGATTTTCTGTATCCTGCCTCTGAGTTTAGAGCTATTGATCAATAGTGAGCAGGCCCTAGCGGTCTCCTGATTCACAAGGTGTAAGACACAGCTGACAGATCACTAGGAAAGATAGATATTCTGTCTGCGCAAGCAAAGACATGCTGAATAAAAACATGAATTAGCACCATCTGGGTTGAAATTTCCCACCAGGACTGAATGTTTGTTAAAAAAATAAATGATCATTGACAGTTTTCCCTCTTATGCCTTGGTGGCTTCTTTTGAGAATAGCTTACTGAATTGGCATTTTGTTTTTAGTCTTAACTACTTGTTTTCCAAAGTGTGTCTAGACTTCTAAAAAATGTATAGGAACAACTGGTGGGCCATTTCTTTGATCTTAGGGGAAGGTTTTCATTCTTGTTTTGCTTTTACTTTGGTAGTGACAGGGGAGTGTCACTGTCTCTAGGCAGCTGATAATAGCTGATAATAGTGTGAGAGAAAGTGAATGATCTGCCTTCAGGATGAACTTGACCCAAAGACAAGGAGTTTGCATGATTGGTAAGAAAGAGTCTGTCTCTGCTGAAAATTTTCCATTGGTTTGTAACTGATTTAAAATTTGTGAACAGCTCTATGGAAATTAGTCTTTATGTTAACAGGCTTCGAAACTCAGCCAAAATTAGCTCTTGCTAACTGGCAAAGTCTCCTGAAAGCCCTAGAAGTGGCTTCAATTAGACAAAATGGAGTATTTCAATAAGCTTTGTTTGGCATGGGTCAGCTGATAATTGGTGGTTTGTCCATTCATTCAAGACACATCTATGGACTTACTTGCCAGGCATTCATTCTTTCTTCAGTGTCTGCAGTGTCCTACGCACTGGGCCAAGGACGGGGAGACACAAGTGACAAAGCAGATGCAGTCCCTGCCCTCCCAGAGCTGATGCACCATGAGCAGAGTTTAAACACTTGATGTTGCAAGTGTGCTAGGTAAGGAGAGGGTGCTTTTATGGCCTGGCTTAAAGCTACAATAAGAGAGAGCCAGTCCCTGCCCTCAGTAGGTGTACAGCCTAGTCAGGGAACCAACTCATCAAACAAAGTGTTCTAAAAGATATTACAGGGTGAGAGCAGGGAAGCCAGCCTGGAGGTAAGCTGGGTGTGTGCTAACAACTGCCTTCTGCCTCCACAGCATGGACAAGGACAGCCCGGATGTCCACCAGGACCTGAATGCCCTCAAAACCAAGTTCCAGGAGATGCGGAAGCTCATCAGCACCATGCCCGGCATCCACCTGAGCCCCGAGCAGCAACAGCAGCAGCTGCACAGCCTCCGAGAGCAAGTCAGGACCAAGAATGAGCTTCTGCAGAAGTACAAGAGCCTTTGCATGTTTGAGATCCCCAAGGAATAGAGAGAGGCTGCCTTCCAGGAGTGCCCAAGAGACAGAAGGCCAATGGCTCTGCCAGTCCCCCCCGCCCCCAACTTGGTACGCACAACTTCTGACTCCAATTCACAACTGCAGGACTGAGTGGGGCTGGTGGAGTTCCTCAGTAGCTGAACTTGGCCTTGACTGTGTGGGCACCCACAGCAAGCTTGTACTTATCCATATGTCTAATGCATAATGACTGAGTGCTTGCTGCAGGAGTGAGAATGTTCCTGAAGCTGGAGAGGGGGAGGACTCCTGCCTCTGGGGAGGGACCACCTGCTGTGTCTGGGCCCCACTGGCAGATCTGAAGAACATTGTAGGAGAGGAGGTGGCTACCCCTCCTGCCCTCAGCTCCTCCCACCCTGATAAGATCCGTGTGTGCCAGGTACATATTGTTCCCTAGCAGCAGTTTCATGAACATTTGCATAGAATTCACTGGACAAATTAGGCCTGCACTCAGATGCCATGGAGTTAATATGATTAAAGGAGCCTGTGAGAGAATGAACATTGTTGTGAAAGGCCACAGGGTGGGTGGCTTTTTCCCCAAAAACAGTTTGGTTCCTTTTATGTCTGAGCCAGTGAATGGAACTGTATCCATAGGGGTGTCAACCCGGAGCTCTGCCAGGCAGCCACAGACTCCAGGCTCCATCCTCCTACATGTTCTTCTTACACTTGGCTCTTGCTCCCTTTGTCTCCTGTCACCTCCAGTTAGTACCCAAGAATAGCCAAACCACTTCACACTCACAGTGCCTCCCTGGAGATAGAGAGGGCCCATCCTTCCTACACAGACTCAGAGGTTTCAAGAGAAGCAGCTCTGACCTCTGACTCATGCTGGCCTGACTTAAACTGTTATTTCCTCTCTGGCCTTCTCAGCAGAGCCAACCACATTTGCTTCCCTGAAAACAAACAGGTTCCTTTTTGTTCATAGAAGGGTGACTCTAAGTCACCCTTAGAGCCAAGGATGAGTGCATGGTCTGGATCAGTTCTGAAGGGAGGCCTGGAAGTTTGCAGCCAGGTTCCAATTCTGAAGTGTCTATGAGTAGCCCTGGCTGTCCCCAGCTCCACGGTATCCAGGTGGGACACTGTGTGCACTCTCCCCGTGGCTGTCCCAGCCCTGCTGGTGTCCAGGCAGGACACTGTGTATGCACTGTCCCAGTGGCTGTCAGATTGAGGCAAGAACTGTTCTTTCCCTGCCTCTCAAGGGTGAGGTACAAAGTAACCAAATATTGTTTGGATCTTGAAATGGGCACACAATCTCTGCTGACCAGCTGAAGGGCTTAGCAGGTGCCTGCCAACTGGCCTCCCTGGCAAGACTGCTGGCTGGAGGTGTTTTTAGCAGGGGTTCCAGTGGCATCGGCCTGCAGCCACCTGTCAGAAGGTGGCTGGCACTTTGGGAGCCCAGGGTATGAAGCTGGATATCAGATTTCAGTGATCTTGGCCTGAAGAGCAGGCTCCAAGGTTAGATCACCTCTACCTTGGGACTGTTATTTAACTGAATCAGTTATTTTCAGAGTAGTGGGTGAGCCAATTTTAAGGCTCTGACAAGATGCCGTGAAACACAAAGCACATAAAAATAAAGACCTTGAGGGCCATTCTGCAAAGCTGAAATGAGAAGGGCTCCTCACAGGGGCAGAGGGAGATGGAACCTTCCTGTAGTTCACTTGTGACATTTTTCAGATATATAATTAAAAGAACTTACGCTCTGCTCTCAGGACACCGTGGTTTTTCTATTTGTTTTTGCAGTGCTGGGAATCAAACCCAGAGAATCAGGGTTTGTATACTGAAGATTTCATAGTGGGATATCTCTTGGATAATCTAGAGGAAAATGTTTACTTAGAACAAAATTGGAAGACTTTCCGCACCTTCTCTTCCTCCACACAGCACATGCCCCGGTTAAACCAGAATAAAAACAGAATAATTTCTCCACCAGGAACAGTGTCTGTCTCCATGGGTGCTATTCACCTGGTAGGTCATCCTGCATCTGTCTGTGGCTGGCCCCTGGCCATCCCTTGTTGCAGGGTGAGTCCTTTTTGGTGATTTGAAGAGGTCCAGTCAAGGTGGGAAACAGCCCTCTCCAGAACAGTGTTGAAATCCCTCCCCCAGGACAGCTTTGAGCTTCCCTCAAAGTGAGCAGATAATTGAAGCCACCAATTAGTTGGCTTACTGGGCAGCAGGCACTTGTGCTAAGTACTTTACAAATGACACACTTAATCCCTGCAGCAACCGCATGCAGCAGGCACCTCTATTTCTTAGGTGAGGAATTGGAGGCTTGGCAGTGTTGCTTGCCCCAAGTTTGCACAGTTAGGAGTGGGAGAGAGCTGGGTCACCAGTTACAAGCAGCGGCCCTTAATCACTGAGGGAGACAGCAAACTGCAAGGGGGTGTTGGACCCCACCCACCCAGGGCAGAGGACTGGAGGCTGTAGGGATTTTGTCTGGTCATGTGACAACCTTGGAGCAAGTTGGACAAGGGTCCAGCACCAGCCTGCCCCCAAATGCCTCTCTCAATCTCCATTTTCTTATTTGTGACAGCAGGATCTGAGTGACAGGTCGAACAGAAGCCCTTCTGTAGCCTGCCCTGGGTCTAGTGATAAGTGGGCTCTGCCAAAGGGGAAATAAGACTGTTCTTTCTGAAAAACGAGGCTTCTATGATAGGGTCCAAAGATTAGGTAGATGGCAAGAAGGGCCTCTAGGGAGGCCCCTGAAATCCTTCTGTGGATCTAGTTGTCTAGAAGGCTGGTCATCTGGAGCCTTTTTGGAGATCTTTATCATTCAATGAGGCCTGAAATCTTTCCAGAAGGCAGGTTGATTTCCAGTTCTGCAGAGGGTGAGGTCCAGTGCCACAGACACAGAAACCCTGCTTCCCACCTTCTCCCCTTCTCTCTAGCCATTTCTAAAAGAATAAGCAAAGAAAGCCAGTTTTCCATTTTAAGTTATTTTATTTATATTAAAAAACCAACAACAATAATAACTTTAAAGACTTCATACACACAGTAAAAACATTTGGAGATTTTGTTCATGTCCATGTCTACACCAGAACTAGTAAAGTGCAAGTTTTATGTTTTGTTTTTCCTTTGTGCAATTCCACACATACACACATGTAAACAATTCACTTGGCTACGATTTGACCCACACTCCCGTCAGTTTCCAGAAGGCAGAGCGTCTGTCAGTTGCCATAGCAAGGCCAAATCACACACAAGATAATGCCCGGTTGGTCCTGGCCCTCAACCCGCAGAGTGGCTACTTGAAGCCTAACAGTGGCTGATGGACTTCACACCCCCTCCCCACTCTCATTCTCAGGTCTCTGAGAAAAACGCCAAGTCCCCATTCTGTTGGGCCCAAGTCCCCCACTTTGTGGGGGTGGGACGCTAATGGGGGGATCAGAGATGGGGGAGTCCCAGTATTAGCCAGTTCTCTTTCCTTCCAAAACAGATGACCGTCCCTTCTCGGTTCCGTGGCGCCTCCCCAGTACGCGGGGCCGGATCGCAGGGAGGGAAGACGCCAGTCCGCGCGCGCTCGCGGCCCGGAGTGCACGGGGCGGGCCAGAGCTTTGGATTTGACTTAACAAAAAAGGTCCTCCTAGGGTTATGTCGCCGGCGAGGCAGAGGCTCCTAGCTGATGACGCAGCGCTCCTTGTCCTTGGCCTGGCTGCCGCCGCTGGCCTTCTCACGGATGTACATGAGGTCGCTGTGCACGCTGGGTCTGCGCGCGAAAGGTGCCACGATACCAAAGGCGTCGCCTGGGTCGCCGCCGCCGCCGCTGCCGGCCCTCAATAGCTTCTTGTTCCGCAGAGCTTTCTTGTGCAGCACGTCGCAGTACTGTACCGACACCTTGCGGTGCAGGTCCGGGCTCATTTCGCTCGGCAGCTTGGCCATGGCGAAGAGCGCACGGAACATCTGGTCCAGGCTGCTGTTCTTCTTGGCGGAGATCTCGAAGTAGGCGCAGCGCTGGGGGTCGTTGCCCACCAGCTGCTCGATCTCGCGCTGCTCAACCTCGCGGTAGAAGTCCCTGTCCCCCTTGTTACCGCAGATGACCAGGGGCACGTCCACGTTCTCCTTGGTTTTGTTCTTGAGACAAGACTTGGTGTCCAGGATCTGCTGTTTGAGCCTTTGCACCTCCTCGAAGGAGTCACGGTTGTCCAAGCTGAACACCAGGATGAAAACGTCTCCTACAGAGGGACAGAGAGCAGAAAAGGTGAGAGCGCTGCCAAGGGACTCCAGCAGCCGCGCTGGGCGCCCTGACCTACCCAAGTACAAAGCGCAAAACTCAGCGCGCCGCAGCGGGACCAGCGGAGCGCGCCTCCAGCCCGGCCCTCGCCGCACGCCTGGAGACCAAGGGTCCCCTCTTCTTCCCTCCTCTACCGGCTGCCCGACCCGCCTCCGCTCTCACCTGTGAGGATGGAGAGGCGCCGCATGGCGGGGAACGGGTGGTTGCCAGACGTGTCCAGGATATCTAGCTGATAGACCTCGCCTCGTATGGAGTAGAACTTGCGGTGGAAATCCTCGATGGTGGGCGTGTAGGCATCCTCGAAGCGGCCGGTGAGGAAACGCGACACGATGGCCGTCTTGCCCACCTTGGACGAGCCGAGGATGACCATGCGGTAGCAGTTCTTGGCCGGGATACTCAGCTCCGAGTCGCTCGGACACATCTTCTTGATCATCGCAGCCAGTTTCATTGGGCAGAGGGGCCGCGGGGACAGATACGGAGCGGAGAGAAGAGCAGAGGGAGGCCGGGGGTGCGGGAGAGGTGGTGGTGAGTGGCCAAAGGGCTCTATTACGACTCGGCTCCCGCTCGGGCTGGGGCTCAAGCTTGGCTCGGATATCCCTAGGCTTTCGGGCAAAGACAACTTACTCTGGTTCTCCCCGCCCGGCCGCCGCCCTTATAAGCAACCAGCGTGGTCGCCCCGCCCCGGGCCCGCCCCGCGCCCGCCCAGCCTCAGTGCGTCACGCCCCGCGGGCGCGCATCGCTGCCCACTGACCTCAGCCAGCTGCTGGCACCCCTCTTGCTCTGTGTGCGCGGGAAGAAGACCGAGTCCGAGCTGGAGCAAGGGGCGCGTGTACCTTGCGCTTTTCCACCGCACTGGGCACAACGCCCTCATAGGCGTCGGGGTGCTGATCCCGGCTGTACTACTGATCTTCTGACTTCGGACCAGGACCCTCACCCTGGAACACACCCGCGCTTGTACATTCACTTTCTTTAGGGCTTGGTTTTCCCAGTAAATAACAATAATCCGGTAATAGCGTTTTCTGGGTACTTGCGCGTACTCTTTCAGTCCTCAGATGACAGCTCTCAGCGCCAGCTCCCTCTCGGGTCCCCAGGCCCGTGCTTGTTCTTGGAAGAGGGTGGGCCTGGCGGCTGTGGCTTTTGCGGACTTGCTGAGGTCCGCGCTGCCCACTCAGGCCGCCAGAGGGCAGCAGGGAAACCCGCCCGCGGCGCGCGGAGGCAGCGGGCCCGTCGCAGGGCTGGCATAGGACCAGGGACAGTAAATGGGTTTGGGAGCCATGGGGCTCCAGGGTGAGGCCCAGCAGGAAACGGCCCCCAGTCCCGCGCACTATTGCAGACCTCAGTCTGTTCCCTTCTCCTAACCAGTGATGCGCTGTGGTCTGGAGGGGTCTTCAACCAGGGTCCGCCCCATCCTTTTTCTGCCCCAGACACCTAGAGGGCCTTAGGTCAGGCCTTAGCCAGAGTCCCTTCCACCCTCTCCTATAGCATTTCGGATCTTTCGGTCCCTGGTCCCTTCACCCACATTCCCATTTTGTCGTTGAGGGTACTGGGCCTCAAAAGAAGCCTAGGAGTAGAGCACAGTGTCTGTGGGCCTGTTTCCCCTTCTAGAAGATGGAGATTATGGCCTGTAATTGCCAATGAGAAAATGCAAACAATTTATGAGGGCAAGGCCTGGTCATAACAACAACAATGTGTCGTAAATGACCCATGAAGCCTGCCAGGGGAAGGACAGGGGCCAGTTGATCAGTAACCAGGAGTAGGTTGATGTGGCTGGAAGGCCCAGAAACAAGCTGTCTGCAACAGCAATCACAGCCTGCGAAGAAGTATTGTTCCTGGCTGTACTCTTGTCTTACTTTGACTTCCTCAGAGGTGTGGGGCCATGGAGGCCAGCCCCACCTGTCCAGCTGTTTGCACAGAGTTGGTGGGGTCTCATTTACCAGGGAGGACTCTCAAAGCCATCTCATCACACCCATTCCTGGTGGCCCAGGAACCTGGCAGAATTGCTCAGCCTCTGCAAGAATACCCAAGTGTTTATTCCATGTAAGGCCCTATCTTTTTTTTTTTTTCCCCCAGAACTGGGATCAAAGTTGAGGCCTTGTGCTTGCTAGGCTGGTGCTATACCACTTGAATCATGCCCCCAACCCTTTTGCTTTTAGTTTTTCTGATGGGGTCACCTACTTCTGCTCTGGCAGTCCTCAAACTTGTGATCCTCCATCTAGCCCTATTCTAAGGGATGCTACCCTTCCTCAATGCACCCTGAAGGTAAGGAAGTACTGCTCTCTCCATTTTACACAGGAAGAAACTGAGGCATAAGAAATGACCTGCAGGGGTCCCACAGCTAGAAACTAGATCTGAGGCTTGAGTCCCAAGGCCACCTGGCTCTTAACTGGCAACTCTCCTGCCTCTGCCTGAGGCTTTGCACTCCTCCCCCTCACAGTGGCACCAGCTACTGGGGCTGGTGGGAATAATCTATCCCATGTTTCAGTCAGCATGGGTATTGACCCTCAGAGCATCCTGCTTTGCTCCACTTTGCTCCCAGGCCTCACTTTTGCAGTCAGACATTTCAAATGCCTATCCACAGAGCAGACGGACACCCAAGGGTTTATAAGCTGGATCTAGGAAATGTCCAGGCCCAGGCCACGCCCTGATCCTGGTTTCTTTATGCAGGAGTTATCTATCTGACAGGTCAGCTGGGGCTGGGCCCCCTGACCATTCTTGGCCTTTGCTGGGTTGAGGCTCCCCTTCCTTCCCTATCTGGGGTATGTGTCTGCCTTAGTCTGTGAGAGAGGCCCTCGCCTGTGCCAAATACAGGACTGCAGAAAGGGGCCAGTTAGTCACTCCAAACTAAGGGCCACTTCCTCTTCCCCACAAATCACCATGTGGATGGCACAGGGTCTGATTCAGGATAGCTTATGGCCAGGGGCTGGAGGAAAGGAGGACACACGCAGCCATCCCCCTGGCCTCCAGTCTGAGTTGGATACATTTGATAAGCATAGGTCTGAGGGGACCAGGGTCAAGGACCTGGCCCAGCTCTCATCCCTCCCCGTGCAAATCCAGAGGCCAGGGCCCAGCCTCTATTCCGAGCTCCCTCCCTCTCTCCAGTGTCAAGGCTAAGCCTGACATCACACCCCAGCTCCTTCCAATTGGAAGTGACAGTGGCAGGTGCTGAGCAACCATGATGCCTCCTGATAGCTTTGGGCATGTCACCCACGCCACTGGGTTAAGACTCAGTTGTCTAAGTAAGCTGGCTCACTTGGCCTGTTCTCATTGCCTTTCCAAATATCCCCAGGGCGTCCGCTGCCCTGCTGGGCCCCATAGACCAGGCAGGGCTTGAAAGCCCTGTTCCCACCTCCTTTTCTTTTCTTTGTTAAAGGGTTATAACTTTCTTTTTTATCACAAATGTAATAAATCCTTGCATTAAAAAAAAACCAAGCCATTCCAGAAAGAACCAGGGTGAAAGGAACAAGAGGCACGGTTCCTCTTAGTCACACTCCAAGGCCAGCCAAATTGCCCACTCCTGATGGCCCCTTCACTCTCTTCACCAAAGGAAACTTGGCTTCCAGATCCCAAGTCTGGCTGTTTACTCAAGTCTCCTTTTCCTTCTTCCTGGGTCTGCCTTTGTGACTTTAGACCAGGCCCTACCCTGAGCTGATTCATCGGCACGCTGGGATCTGAAAGACAAGTGGTACAATCCCACATAATCCCCCACCTGTTCCCCACCCCCACGACCACTGTTGCCCTACGCCAGGAGGGGCTACCAAATCTTTTGAGTCCCACCAGCCACCTTGGTGTTTCTACATTGTCCTGGTTGGTAATGGCTCCATTTTCTGTGTTTGGGACATACACTATGAACTGCATTTTGAAGTTGGGAGACTGCATAGAAATGTGATTTAAAAACTGTGAAGAATGGAAGGAGAACTGTCAGCATCTGACTAAATGTTGGGGGTGGTCCTGGGGGTAGATGGTGGCCCACAGGCAGGATATGTTGCCCCGCAGCCTGGTCTGGAGGCAAATAGCATTTAGAAGATTCTTGAAAGCTGGGTCTGAGGGGAGGCTGGGCAGGCCCATTAAGGCCTTGCCGGGGTGTCCTGCCCCAGGGCCCACATCGGAGATACATGGACCCGTCTGGTGACAGGTGCATAGTCTCACTTCTGACCTGTCTGTGGTCCTAGTCAATGACCACCTGCTGAGGAGGAACAGGGGCTACACAGAGGTGGCTTTCCTTCCCTCTAACAGGCCCCTCCATCAAGCTGACCTCAGGATTGTCTGGGCGCTGCCTCATCAGTGACCTATGAACTGTGAGTCACGATGCCCTAAACTGTACAGCCCTGCTCAAGCCATCAGAGGTACTGTGGTGAAGTGAGGGAGTCCCACCCCAGTGGAATGCAAGCAGAGAGGCAGTAACTAAAGACTGGATAAGGCCAGTCTAGATGCCTTGGGGGCCCCCTCAAGCTTTCAGAAAGATTGTGGGTTCTAGAAAGCAAAAAGAAACTGAGGAGTTCTACAGGCAGTGAGGGAGGCCCTGCCTGAGCACCAGCTATATACACAGGCAGGCATGACTCCAGTGGCCATTTGACAGGTGGGGATGCCCAGGCTCCCAGAGCTGGGTGCAGAGGAGTCTGGACTCCCTAGTCTCCTGACTGGACTCGGAAAAACTGACCTATCCCCATGGAGGGCTCGGGGTCTGCAAGGGAAGACTGGGGCCAGGGAAAGCCAACCTTGTCCCAGGGTTCTCCCATAGGAGAGGAGTGGGGTACTGACCTGAGTCTACTCTGTCCTCTAGGAAGCCCTCCATGACAAGCCTCTTTCTGATGTACCCATCTGCCACGGGGCAGAGGCAGGAAACATGCCCTGGTCCCAGTCCACAGGCTGTCAATTATTCATTTGCCACCTGGGCAAGGTCACCCAGTCTCTCAGCTACCAACAGAGGCTGACACCAGCCATGAGTCATCAGCAATGCAGGGCTGGCCACACGCATTGCAGAGTGTCCCTCTGGTCCTGGCCCACCCCAACCCTTTCTTCCCTTTATAAGCTCAAGCACTGGTAGTTGAATTTGGAGAAGCAACTTAGCTCCCCACCCTTCCCTTCTATCCCCTCATCTCCCAGGACCTTCACACAGCCTGGCCTTTGAGGTCTCCAGGAGTCCAAAAAGTGGCTGAGCATCAGGCAAAGGGCCAGACAGTGAATGAGGGAAACTTGGGCTGTCCTGGTAACCCCTGGATTCTCCCACAAAGGAAGTTCTGTCTCCAAGACCAGCTCATCTAGGCTGAACCAGTGGTCTGAGATTCAGAACAACCTAGGTGTCATGGTCCAGCCTCTTGGAAGTGTATTAGTGCCTGTCCTCCAAAGGGTCAAGTGCCCATGGCCAACACCCCTTGATAATAGCTCAATCCTCAGAGCTGCTGCTTTGAGGAGCCCCAACCTAGTCTCACCTCAGGGCCTTTGCACTTGCCATTCCTGATGCCTGGAGGGGTCCACCTTCAATTTGCTACATCTTGCTTGTAGGTCTTGGCTCCAGTGTCACACCCTCAGAGTGGGCCCCTCTGACCATTGGACTAACACAGCCTCCACCACACTATCAAGTTGATTTTTTTTTTTTTTTTTTGGCAGTACTGTGGTTTAAACTCAGGGCCTCATGCTTCCTAAGCAGGCGCTGTACCACTTGAGCCACTCCGCCAGCCCTTTTTTGTGTTGGGTATTTTCAAGGTAGGGTCTTGCAATTTCCTTGGGCTGGTGTCGATTTGTGATCCCCCTGATCTCTGCCTCCTGAGCAGCCAGGATTACAGGTGTGAGCCATCAGTGCCCAGCAATCACATTGCTTTTTAAGTTTTTGGTATGATGTTTTTCACTGTCTTATTATTTCTTGATTAATACTATTCAATCTGACCAGTTTCCTCTAAAGTCTTTTGCGGTATTAGTTTGAATAATATAATAGTACAGTTTTTTAAAGTTAGAAGTGGTCATACATTGGCAGTTTTATACAGTTTCACTTGACGTAACTTAGGCACAGTAGATGCAAAAATATGAAGTTAACAGCTGGAAGAAAGTCCATGTAAGTGTGTACCTTCTTCACTCAACCACATCAAAGTGCAGGGGCATGTCTAGCCCCAGGGACCCTTGCACCCCCACCAAGATGCCCCCCTCAGCTGGCTTCTATCACCACACATTAATCTTGCCTAATGGGTGTGTTATGCATTCACATCTGCCTGGCTGTGGAGTGGCCCTCAGTGGGAACATCCCAGTTTCTGCTGATAGACACCTGGGCTGTGAGGAAGCTGCTCTAGAAATTACTCAAAATGTCAAACATCGTCAGGGGCCAGTGGCCTGTAATCCTAGCTACTTGGGAGGCAGAGATCAGGAGATCTCAGTTCAAGGCCAGCCCCCGGGCACATAGTTTGCAAGACCCTATCTTGAAAAAAAACCCATCACAGAAGAGGGCTAACCAGTGACTTAAGCGGCTGAGTGCCTGCATAGCAAGCATGAGGCCTTGAGTTCAAACCCCAGTGCCACCAAAAAAAAAGTCAACTATGAGTCTCATGTGACCCAGAAATTCCACTTCTAATTACATAGTCAAAAGAAATGAAAACATACAACTATACAAACACTGTACACGGTGTTTACAATTATCCAAGGTGGAAACAACTTGAGTGTCTATCAACAAACCGAGTGTGATGAATAGATACCCAGATGTGGTCTGCCCATTCATGGACTATTGTTAGTCCATGAAAGGAAGGAGGTATGGATATCACCTGAGTGCCCAAATGCATGCTGGAACTTAACCCCCATTGGGAGGTATTAGAGGCTGGAAACAACCTAACTGTGCAGTTTGGAGGTGGGGCCCATGGGAGGTAATTAAGGTTAAATGAGGCCCTAAGGGTGGAGCTGCAGTCCAGTGGGACTGTGGCTTTGTAGGAAGGGTGGTAGAGACGTGAGCTGGGATGTTGTCTGTCCATGTGATGCCCTGCACCACTCTGCAGAGTCTCCACCAGCAAGAAGAACCTCGACAGATCTGGTCACCGGCTACTATTTGGAGGTCAGATGTCTTCCAGAGGCTCATGTGTTCAAGGATGGGTCCCTAGGATGGTGCTATCGGGAGATAGTAGAGCCTTTAAGAGGTGAGGCTTTGTGGGAGATCTTTAAGTTATTACATATGTGTCCCTGAAGGTGACTGTGGGATCCTGACCCCTTCCTCACTCGCTCTTTACTTCCTGGCCATAAGATGAGTAGTTTTGCCCCACCATGCATTCCCACCATGACTTGCTATCTTGCTATGGGCCCAAAGCAACAGGACCAACTAATCATGGACTTAACCCTCTAAAACTGTGAGCCAAACAGCCCTTTTCCTCTTTATAAGCTGATTGTCTTAAGTGTTTTGTTTTAGTGATCCCCCCCCACCCCCCCCGCAATCTTGACCTTCCCAGCCTTTAAAATCATGAGCCAAATAAAACTTTCTTCTTTGTAAATTAGTTTGTGGTATTCACTTACAGCAACAAAAGCAAAGACAAATGCTGATATATGACACAACATGGCTAAATGTCAAAGACGTTATGCTAAGTGAAAAGTCAGACACCAAAGAACAAACACTGTGATTCCACTTAGATGAAATGCTTGGAGAAGGCAAATCCAGGGACAGAGAGCAAATGCTAGATGGGAGCTGTGCAGTGACAGTTGGGGGCACAACTGCCTCTTTTTGGGATGATGAAGATGTTCTACAATGACTGTGGTGATGGCTCCACAGCTCTGTGGAGAAACTAAAACCTGTCCAGCTGTTCACTTTGAGCGAGTGAATTAATTACATGTGTGGTATATGAATTACATCTCGGTCAGAATGTTAAACCTGCTTCCACCCAGCAGCCAGAGGGATCCTGGCACTCACTATTCAGCCAAACCCCACACCATTGCTGGAGAATCAAGCCCCTCACCAGGGTTTGGGGCCTTTGTATATGTTGTTCCCACAGCTGGAAAGCAGCTCACCACAATCCACCTCCTCTCACTGAGGCTACCAATGGATGGCAGCAGCAGCAGGGGTGAAATAAAACATCCTACAGTTATTGTCCCTAAGGGGCAGCCAGCCCCAAGGGCAGGGCCTAAAAACTGCCCATTGCTGAGGCTGTGCCTCCTTCACAGAACTTAGCGGTGTTGGATGGTGGGTGAGAGGAAAGGCCATTCCAGGAGGAAGTGGCAGCAAGGGCAGTTGGAGGTGGTCGAGGTCTGAGGATGGCTCTGGAGCCCAATGGAGGAGAGGAGACTGCAGAGGGCCAGGCCCTGGGGAGAGCACTGAGGCCTGGACTTTATCCCAAGGACTATGTAGACTGTGAGGGTGTCCCACCCCATCTACTTTTGGCAGGGGGGTGAAGTGGTCAGCTCAGTATGGTGAGGAGTGGGCAGTGGGAGGCAGCAGGGGACAGGGAGGAGGTGATGAGTATGGGGAAGGTCCACAGAGCTGAGCCAGGACGGCTTCCATGGAGTACCAATTTCCTCCTCCTGCTGCCCACACACACAGTCTGGCACTGAGTAAGCAGGGCCTAAAATTAAAGCCAGACGTAGTGGGTACTGGGCCTGATGGGGAGCAGGTGGGAGCATGATCCAGGGATGTGGGAGGCCACTGAGAGCAGAGCCTCTGGGCATCGCGCCTATATGGAGCATCCTCACTGGAACTCAGGGAAAGAAGCCAGAGAGGGGTCAGTTCTGGTAAAGGAAAACAGCTCTGCTCCTGGCTCTAGACCAAGGGCTCCAAGGTCTTTCTGGTCCAGACCCAGAATTACCTGCCTGGGCTGTGGGGTCAGATCTGCATGGCACCTGGGATGGTGAGGACACAGGTGAGGACAGCCTGGCCAATTGTTCCTGGCACCCTCCGTCTATCCAGAGGGAATGGGGGTAGGGAGCTCAGGGGAGACAGCACAGCTCTGCCATGGGCCTGAGGCAGCAGGGTATGAGGCCACACTAGTGAAAGATCTGGTTCCTGGATACACAGCCCATGGCCACAGCTGATGGCTCTGGCCTGGCCCCAGTGCTGGGAGTGAGGCTCCTGGCACTCCTACTTGGTCCTGGAAGAGGAGATGCCCAGGCTTCCTTGGAGGGCTTAGGAATGTGACCGCGGAGACCCCTCTGTGGCCCTGTGCACACAGTGAAGTCCTAGGCACTTTGTAAATGCTCAAATTATGGCCTAGGGGTCCTGGGTGACATTAACTTGGTATGTCAGGGGAGGACAGCCCTTGGATACTGTCCCACACAGCCCCAGAGTTGGCTAAGATAGAGGAGGGAGGGGCTGGGACAGGCTGGGCCCCTCCCCTCAGAGCTCTGATTCCTGTGAAGCCTTCTAGGCAACGCTGACTGGCCCTTAAGGCCAAAGGGAGACCCTACAGGGGATGCTGGCTGAGGCTAAAGGGCTAAGGGTCTCTGACACCCCTGGAACAATCACTCCCAAAGCCCACCGAGCTGAGGAGCCTCTGACCCACCCCAGTCAGGGTCCCTGGAGTCCTGGAATTCCAGGTGGGCCCAGCTACCAGTGGCAAAATGGGGGTCAGGACAGGAAATGGCCATACCAGTGCCAGGAAAGGCTCCTCTGGCCACCTCTGGAGCCCCCACAGCAACTCATCTGTGCTCCACTTGGCACACACCCCATCTTCCCTAGCTGGATGCCACCCTTACAAGTACCTACACATTACCCCCTCGGATGGCAGCTCAGGTAGGCAGAGGGGTACTCACTGTGTGTTCAGACACTGGGTGGCATTTCTTGGTGGAACAGCAGTGTTAACCCCCCAGCTGGACTGGAGTGGTCAATGACAACATGGTGACATATCTCCAGGCTTGTGGACACTGGCTGGGTCTCCCCAGGGAAAGAGGCAGTGAGGCAAGTCCTGGAACAGCTAGTAGGGTGCAGGTGACCCAGGGTGCCGTGCTTCCTGGGAAAGGGGCCATGGCCACAGCCAGGGCAGTAATTGATGCCTTCACCTCTCAGCACTGGGAGGTTCCAATGGGAAAAAGGGGCAGGGCCAATGTGGCCCAGAAGCCCTCAGGGGATATCCCCCTCCCCTGCTCTGCTCTTTCCCACTGGATGAGGACAGAAAGAGGTTGGGGGGAGGTGCTGGGGTCAGGGCGCCTTTATTGGTAAGTGGGGGCACAGTGGGAGCAGGGAGACTCAGTAGCCACATGGCAGCATGCCCAGGGCCCCCAAGGCAGCAGTTTCCAAGGCACTGGAGAGGCCTATGCCAGGTGTGAGCTGGTAGCAGAGGCTGACAGTCTCCCCTGAGCAGGGCTGGGTGCCTAGAGCAGGCTGGCAGGCCAGCCAGGCCCTTCATAGGGCCACCACAGCCCAGTCAGCTCCTTTTGTGCAACCTGATAGCTTTCTGCCGGTAGATCTCGGCGGTGAAGGGCCTGCAGGGTGGGAAAAGGTTTTATTCAGTCAGCTACTCCAGGTGACAACCTAACCCCCCATGCACCAGAGCCTGCCCCAGTCCTGCCAGCCAAAGCATGGACAGCCCCTTGCCCAGTGCAGAGGGGACCCGTATCCAAACCAACCCCAGACCTGCCTGGTGCCTTCAGAGAGCAGGCAGGAGATCAGGAGGAGTCAGGGCTCCCTGCCCACCTGCCCAGGTCTCACAGGCACCAGGTGTGCCCAGCAAGAGCTTCCCAACATGTGACCTGGCATGGTCTGAGTTTGCCTGGCCACAGGGAAAGATTCTAAAGCAGAGGCATGGCCCAGCTCAGCCGCCACCCCTATGCCACACATCACCACAGCCCCTACTCACTCCTCATACAGGATGGCCACCACATAGACAAGGGCCACAAGCACTGTCAGCAACAGGCCTGTGGGACTGGCATGCCTGCAGAGACAGACACACAAGATCAGTGGGGACTGGCCCCTCCTGCCACCACAGTGGAGCCACTTGGGTGGGACAAGCTGTGCCTGTTGGTTCCCCTTTCTGAGTCTGGTTTTGCAGCAAGGGTTCCTGTTGTCCACGTCCTGATCCAGTGACCATTTTGTCTGTCTGCCCTAACTGGCTGGGTCTCCTTGGGGTGGCCTCCTTACTGCCTCTTGTCTTGGTCCCAGTTCTGAGCTCAGGGCAGCAGGAGGGAATCAGGAAGAGAGACCTGAGGACAGTCCCTTGCCAAACCTGCTCTGTGTACAGGAGCCTGCTCTGGGGCAGGAAATGCTTCCCCTGTCTACCAGGGACAATGTGCTTAGGAAATAAGACTTCTAAAAAACCAGCCTGGGGCCCCCTGAGCACACACCCCCGTCAGCCGGCTCTGTCCATAGGTGCAGCCCCATGGCCACCATCCTGGGAGGCTAGGGAAAGGAGTTCCTCCCCTCACTCAGCACTGGCCAGGGCTGCCCGAGGGGTGGGATAGCAGTTTTATGCCCGGCCTACACAGTATGGGCTCCAGGTGTTCAGGGACCTCCAGCTTAGAGGACAGGAAGCCCCGGGCAGAGCATGCAGTGGGCTCAGGGCTGGACAGAACATCTGTCACGGCTCTCTGCGGGCAACTAATCTCTGACCTTGCTGTGCCGATGAGCGCGGGCAGCTTGTTAGTGACGGCACTGCGGAGCCGAGCACATGTACCTCAGGCTTCCAGAAATAGCTTCTGTCACGCTGGCCCCCAATCAATTTCTATGGTTACTTCTAGTTCCATGGGCTCCTACAGGGACTAGACTGCTGTGTCCACATCAGCAGGGGAAAAGGAGAGAGCCACTTGGGGCACAGCCAGAGCCTGGGAGCAATAGGGAGCAAGGGCTGAACCTCAGGACTGCAGGGGTCTCTGCTCTCCTTGCCTCCCCCCTCCCATTCTGCACCAGGCTTCCCTGAACTCCAGCCAGACCATCACAGGAGTTCTGGGCTCATGCTGCCCCAAAGCAGAGGGGCATAAGGACATGTGTGCCCTACAGGAACTCTTTGCCCTGTCCACTCCCCAACACCTACTCAGACCTCCCACTGGCCAGTCTTTGGTCTGTCTGTCTAGGAGGGGACAAGGCAAATGCAAGGACAGCAAGGTCCTGAACCCAGGCTGCAGTTACAGGCCTGATGTCCAGCAGTATCCTCTCTGTGGACAATAAGGGATACAGGACCCCTGCCTGGAACAACATGAAGCACAGGCCTCCTACCTGCCCCCCACAGCCAGACACCACCTCTGGTGCCCCTAAAGCCAAGCTTACTTTCACATGGAGATGTGACACCAAACAGAGACTCTTCTGGGGAGAACAGGAAACCTGCCTTTTCTGGTTTCCCTCACTGCCCCTCTTTGGGCTTCTAGAACAAGCTGAGCCTCTCAGCATGGACTGGGAAATGGGGAAAGGGCAAGCTGGCCCCACCACGAGCCCAGACTGCTATGGATATAGCAAAGCTATCTGGGAGCCACAGTGGCCAGGGTTGGACTTGGCCTGGCAGCTTCCAGGAAGGGCCAGGCCCCATGCTAAGCTTCTCTCAGCCACTCTTTCTGGTCTCAGCTTGTGTCTCCCCAGAGAAACAGGCCCTAAGAGCTCATCTGGGCTATAAAGTAGGGCTGTGTCCTTTACCTGTGGAGGGCTCTTCCCGACCTGGGTACTAGGGATTGAACTTAGGGCCTTGTTCTTGATAGGCAGGTACTCTACCACTTGAGTCACTCTCCCAGTCCTTTTGCTTTTTTTAAACTTTATTTTTCAGATAAAATCTCAGACCACAATCCTCCTACCTCCACCTCCCCAGTAGTTGGGATTACAGGCACATACCACCATGCCCAGCCTGTGGGGAGTCTTTAATAGTCTCAAGTTGGAACAGTGGAGGAACTTGGGGCCGGGTTCAGTCTTCATCCTGGCAGACATGGCTCTCAAGCTTATGTCCTAGCCTGTGAGAAAGGGCCTGTGGCCAAGATGAGCCCATGACAGTCACCTCTTCCTTCTGGCTGAAGAGGTGATTTGTCCCTGGCCATGTGTCAGCAACAAGCCTAGTCCTCAGCCATGATCCCAACCACACAGGGACCTGCAGGTCATGACAGACTTTGGAGGGAGGTCCAGCTGCTGGATGGGTCCATGGGCAGGGCTGCCTTGACAGACCCAAGTGGACAGCCTCCTCACTTCAGCGTGCCTGCTAAAAGACAGGCCTCGTGCTCAAATCAGCCACTTGCCACCTGATTTGGGGCTCACCCTAGGAAAAAGCCCCAACTCTGCCAAGCTGGCTATAGGAGCACTTTGCCCATCGAGGGGCCCATCTGACCCCTCAACTTACTTCCTGTTTCTATAAATGTTGTGCACACAAAAAGACCAGGGGCTGTGCTCTGGGAGCTGGGAAATTGGGGATGAAGGCTATCTGTAGCCCAGACTTGTGTGGCTTCAATTTCCCCACCTGTCATAGGTGGACTGGACTGATTGAGCTTTCCTTGCTTTCGTGATGCCAAAATGTAGATCCCCTAAAAGACAGTCACTGGAGTGACCCCAGTCAGGGGCTTTTGGCAGGTCCTAAGGGCCTCCCCTGCCTTGATCCAAGCCCCAGGGAGGGCAGCAGAACCTGGGGAGAATGTTCCAGGCAGCCACTTTTCCAAGGCCACATGTACCATACCTGCAGAGCAAGTAGGGCACCATCTTCTCAGCTCCCAGCAGCAGCACCAGGCCCTGTGGTCAAGACCAGCTCAATTCTCTGCTATTGGGTCGGGGAGGCAGTGGGGTGGTGGGGATGGGGACAGTCACGGAGTGGGGGGTATGCATGCTTAAATTCCCCTTCTCCATCTAAAGTCCATGAAACTTTCCCACCTGCCTTGGTCCAGTTCAACCTCTTAACAGCCCAGAGTAGAAATGACCATTCCACTGGCATATGAGGACACTGAGTCCTATGTACCCACACCTTGCTGGAGGGCTGAGGAGGTAAAGGCCTAGAAAGAGCAGGAACCCAGGGGCCTGGAGGAGCAGGAGCAGGAGTCTCTCACCTGGCCTGGGTGCTTTGGCACTAGGAAACCCCATCTGAGGGCCTTGGAGGCAGGAGACATTTAGGCTGTGGAAGGCCTGGGAACCTCCAGGTAATGGCCTGTCTCTAATGAGCCCTCCAGGGAGGCTCTGTCCCCAGTATAGGCAGCCTCTCCTCAACAATGTGAGACTGATGTCCTCTGGAGGCAATTCAAGGGTGCCACATGCTTCTGAGAGCCCTGGCCTGGCCACCCTGAACCTGGGGTGACTTTTACTCCTTGGCACCAGATACTTCTAAGGACGTAGAGGGGACACGGGTCCTCAGAGAGGAATGGGTAGACTCTACCACAGGGGGTCGGAGCACGAAGGAGATCAGGAAGGCTTCCTGGAGGAGGGAATGCCTCAGTTGGGTTTAGAAAGCAGACTGGGGTAGCAGTGGGAAGGTTCCAGGTCAATGTGCGTGTGTGTCAGTACCCACACATAGCCAGGGCAGACAGCAATCCTAGGGCTGCACTTATGGGCATGGGCCCCGCCCTCTGTGGAAGGAGCGCACTTGAGCAGCACATTTACGGAGGAGCACACCAGCTGAAGGCCGCCAGGGCCCAAGAGTGAACTCTAGCCCAAGACACTTTTTACTTTTTTGTTGTTTTTGGCATTGAGTATGGCTATTGAGCTGAGGGCCTCAAGCTTGATTAGGCAAGTGCTCTACCACTTGAGTCACACCCTCAGCCTTTTTGCTTTTAGTTGTTTTTCAGAAAGCATCTTGTGCTTTTGCCCAGGCAGCCTCAGACCAGGATCCTCCTACCTCTACCTGTAGGAGTAGCTGTACTCTCAAGTAGCTGGAATTACAAGCATGTGCTACTACACCCAGTCCACTTTTGTCCACTTTTTACATTTTTTTTTTTTTTGCAGTACCAGGGCTTGAATTCAGGGCCTACACCTTCAGCCACTCCACCAGCCCCTTTTGTGTTAGGTATTCTCGAGATAGGGTCTTGCGAACTATTTCCTGGGGCTGACTTCGAACCTCTGATCCTCCTGATCTCTGCCTCCTGAGTAGTTAGGATTACAGGTGTGAGCCACTGGTGCCTGGACTTATATTTTTAAGCAGGTTTTTGTTTGTTTGTTTTTAAATCCAGGGCTGGTGAAGTGACTCAAGTGGTAGAATGCCTGCCAGCAAGCATTAGGCCCTGAGTTCAAACCCCAGTGCCACAAAAAAAAAAAAAAATCCACAGACTATTTCAGGATACATGAAAATTATATGATTACATGAAATCCTAATTTCAGTGTCTGTAAATGAAGCTGCATGGCCCATACCTCACTGCCCATTTTCCCACATCTCTGCATGCTTTTGTGCTAGGAGCAGAGCTGAATGGCTATGGCCTGTGGCTCTCTAAGCCTGAATGCTCTGGCCCTTTAAGAGAAAGCCTGCCGAACCCTGTTCTCGAGGCTGTTTCTTATCACAGATAAGAAACTTCTGAGAAGGGAAGGTGATACCCTTGGGCCATGAATGACCTTTCTCTTCATCCTGGGAGGCCTCCAGCAGGGTGAGTGGACAGCCAGGTACTTACATGAAGGCCCAGCCCAGGTAGTTGGCTGTGCTCCCCCAGTACATGGGGTTATCCAAGACGCTGAAGGGGAACGTGGTCACTCTGGCCTCCTTGAGGATCCCAAAGTAGTCGCCTGTGGACAAGGCAGGGCAGGGTGGGAAAGTCACTTGGCCATTTGTGCTCCCAGCCACTCTATTACTGAGGGAGGTTCCCAGTGGGCTTTGGTGGACCTGCAGGTGAAACAGGGCCCCGCCCCTCCAAGAAGCTCCCAACCAGTGGTGGAGGGGCAGGTAAAACTACATACATGGTCAGAGGAACCCCAGTTCTGAGCCCTGCCTCCTCATCTACTACCATCCTCCACTCTCTGGGTTCCAGCCACCCTGGTCATCCCCTTCTTCCTACCTCTGTGCTCATGCACACACTGTTCCCTCTCGTGACACCTTTCCCTGTTCTCTGAACAGAGAGCTCCATTCCTCTTTGGCATTTCTCCCCCCTTTAGAGCCCCATCTCAACTCTACCTCTAGTAGTAGGCCTGCCTACTGCTCATTTCTGCCCCATCTCCTCCCAAATCCCACCCTGGCCTCAGTTACCCCCTGGGGCCTTGGTTTTCCCCTGGGTCTAGCTGGCTGCTAAGGCGGCACTGTTCCCACCTCTGGCTGCTGTGCTTCTGGCTCCAGGCCTGCCCACCACATGCCTCCTGTCATTCTGGGAGGTCAGCCACAGTATTACTGTCTTCCCATATGGCAGCTCAGAGATGACCACCAGAAGGCCAGTCATCCACCCACCTACCCACGGTAACCAGGCCTGCGTCATACAGCCACTCTCAGCAGGAAGAAGCAACAGTGGGACCTCAGAACAAAGGGTCTGGCACAGTTCCCTCCCAGTAACTATCACTACTGGTCTGTGATAATTCAATAAAAAATGCCACATGCCCCTCCTCTCTACAGCAACCCCCTCTGTGTCCCACCAGCCATTCTGGAGGACAATGCCACTTCATCCCTGGCAGAAAGTACAGCAGTTGGACTGATAATGGGAAGGCACAGGCAGGATGGTCCTGGTGGGTGCTGAGATGCCCATTGTTGGGGACAAAAGGTGCAGGGGACCTGGGGACCACTGGGAGGCTCTTTCTTCCCAGGAAGCAGGAAGCAGGGCAGTGGGGCCAAGAGAGGGTGGGGGGATGGCACAGAAACCCGTATCGGGCTGACTCACAGGGGAGTGACTGCTCTGTGCTCTACATCCCCAGCCTGCTGGATCCCTCTGGCTTTCTAGGCCATGTTTACTGGGGAGGGCCACCCTGCTGCAGTTGCCTGCCTCTGACTTGCTCTACTGATGAGTCTCCCTGGTCTGGCCCTCACGGTCCACCTACTACCTGGGGTCTCTACCAGTCCCTCCCTGGCTCTGGGCACATGCTGTCTTCAGGCCTCCCTGTCCTCACTCCCAACCCTGCTCACTGAGGCCTACTCACCTGTCTTCCATGACTCTGGAAGTCAGCTGCCCCTCCCCCCTATCCCTGCAGGTCCTGGGGAGCCCCTCCTGTTGCTCCTTGACCCCAGCTCTGCTCTGGCCCCACCAGTCCCCATTCTTCATGAAGGTCCAGGCACTCCATCTTCCCCTTTCCCAGCCTGCCACCTCGAGCCCCTCTTTCATGTCGGCTCCTGACTGAGCACAAAGCACTGACCAGTGCCACAGTCCCAGTAATGCTGAACTCAAACACCACTTGCTCCCTCAGGCGCTGCTGCTCCTGAGCACACTCCCAAGAGCTTCAAGTCTGCTGCTGGGAGGCTAGGCCCTGTGGAGGGACAGCCAGGCACCTGGGCAGCTATGCTATTCCTGGGGCAGCCTGAGTGCTGCAAGGGGCTCCCTTTGTGAATGCAGGCTGCCACCTTCTCTCTGTTCCAGTCCCCATGGCCCACCTTGCCCTCAGCCTCCCCTGCTGGTATCCCCCTTGATTCTTTTCCCTCCTAGAATTCCAAGGCACTAGAAGTCCTTGCTGTACTGTGAGGTGAGGCAGCTAAGTATTGGTAGGCCACACTGGGCTCCCAGCCCAAAAATGCCACAGGCAGCAGGAAACAGAGAAGGAACAATGTCCCTCCACCTTGCATCCCGCCCAGACACAGAAAACCAAGATCCCACCAGGCTTGGCAGTCAAGCATGTTGGGAGCTGCCCAGGGCAGACCCAGGGGTGGCTATGAGGCAGAGGGTCCTGTCACTGTGCATTTGGGCAACTTACCACCTCATCTTTCCATGTAAACAGGGCCTTGGGCCCTCTGCAAGGGGAAGCTGGGCCCAGGAGAGCATCTTGGGGCCCATGGGGCCAGGATTAGGAGAAACTTATTCCCACCACAGCAGGCAGAAGCTCAGAGCCCTGGAGTCAGATGAGACAGTAGAGCCCACTCTCCCATCCTAACCATGGACCGTCAGGGTCTCCAGTGGTCCCCATCACAGATGGCACTGGGCCCTGAACCCCAGTGTACCTTCCCAAGGTCATCCCCTACCCTCAGGATTTTACCTAGGAAGGTTCCGGTGAACCCCAGTGCGAAGAAGCTGGACAGCACAAACACGAGGCCCACGCCCAGGAGCGCAAGGCCCAGGCAGTAAGTGATGGCGTTATCCAGGCCCTCCATCTTGGGCTGGCTCAACATGGCCTGTGTGAAGCTGTGGGCATGGGACAGGGAGAAAAAGTATGTCACAATGTATGGGGTGGGTGTCTACCCTTCTCAGAGAGTAGCCACCCCAGGGCTCATATGCCCAATGGCCACTGAGGTGGCTACAGGTGGAGTCCAGGCCACCTGCAGAGCACTGTCCAGTCCCCACTGCCATAGGGAGGGGAGAGGAACAGATGCCCAGACATGCCAGTGTTTTCAAGAAAAGCCAGAAATCCTGACTTGCATATGAAATATCCTAAATTTTGGAACTAGGCCATTCATAAAAACCACTCAAGACTCTGCATGTGAGTGGCTGGGTGACCCAAGAGCCACCAGTTTGCATGCTCTGACCCTGTCTAGTGAGCAACTTGCACTTTAGAGAAAAGTGAGGCTCAAAGCAGAAAAGGTGCATACTCAGAGCAGGTGCACAGTAGGCCCTGGCACCTGGTGCCCTGAGCCTGGTGGGTGCCACATGTGGTGTGGGAACCCCATTCTCCTAGCAGACTCACAGTCTAAGACTAGGTGCTTTGCACTGTTGAGTTGGCTCCATGGCCCCTGCACAGGCCTGGCCACACCTGGGCAGCTGACCTCGGTTGTAAATTACCTCAAAGGCCCATTAATGTCCCCCTCCACCCCCAAAATGTCTTTGGGTCAAGGATTGAGGTCTCATTCAAAGGCTGGAGTGGACCCAAAGGACAGTGACTCTATTGGCACATCAGTGTGTTGGCGGTTCAGGTACTTTATTTGTCCTCTAAATTGGAAAGCCTAGAGCAGGTAAGGTACAGGCAAACAGGCTGGTAATGGGTCTGGGCCTCACTATAAGGGAGGGGGCACTGGTGAGAGGGGCACACCCACAGAGAATGGTGTATGGGACCAGCACGTACATGTACCAAACATGCTCTTCCCATTCCCCCTACCATGTGATGCTTAGAAGAGACATGGAAATCTGCTGTTCACACAGAGAAATTACTTATACTCACTCTGTACCAGGTTCCTCTCAGCAAGGGAGCTTACCATCCACCAAAACCCTCCATCTACCTACCCCTCCATCCATCAATCCAACCATCCACCCACCTACCTATCTATCCAATTATCCTTCAGTCTATCTATCTACTCAGTCCATCCATTCATCCATCCATCCATCCATCTGCCTGCCTATCCACCTACCCTTCCATTTATTCATTCACCCACCCATCTACCTATCCATCTACCCACCTTTTACCTATCTATCCATTACCTACTCACCTACCCATCTATCCTTCAATTCATTCATCTATACATCATCCCTCAATCCACCCATGCATCCACCCATTCTTCCATCCTTTAACCTACCCTTTATCTACCCAGCCACCTATTCATTCATCCATCCACTAATCCACCATCAGTTCATCCACCAGCACATCCATCCATCCATAACAGAGTTATTTATCTTTGCTGGCCAAGCTCTTCCAGCAAAATGCATTCACCATCTTCCTTCACTCACTCATTGATGAAGGCGACTTGCTGTAACTCTACTTTTAGGTTGCACTAAACACTACCTCCTAGGAATTCTTTCCTACAACTAGACGTTCAGCTCTTCTCTTCCCCCATGCATCTCCTTGGCACCCAGCACAGGCCAGTAGATGTGTTGAAAAGAAAGGGAGAACAAGGGCCTGGGAACAAACAGCATGGCAGAGGCCTGCAAATGACCTGCCAGCAGCCAGTGCATGGTGTCAGAGCAACTGGTCAGGCTGCCCAAACCCTTGGCTCTCTATCCATTGCTGCCCTCCCTCATCTCTTCTGCTCACCTGGCTCAGGGCCACTGTGAAGCTCCAGGCTATGAGCTGGGATTGATTCAGAAGCCAGGTAACATTAGACAGACCCTGTGTTGTGAGAGGCAGTGGCCACATTCATACCCTGCCCTCTGAGCAATGCTGTGACCCCAGCACCCCTCTATCCTACAGATCCCACTGCAGGGAACATGCAGCTTTAAATCCCAAACCCTCAGCACTTGTCTAATGGGAAGGACATGGAGGGGCTAGGGGCTGGGTCACACCCAGCTCCTTATATATGCTACATCAAGGCCCACAGAACAGAAAGTGTGGCAAGGGGAATGTGTGACTCTCAGTGACTGGGTGACTCTGCCAGCCTCTGGGTTCCACCTGCCTGAAAAGAGGTCAGGAGGCCTGCTGGACTCCCTCTTGTCAGCTCTAGGTGTATTTCTTGAGTTCTCTGGGGTCACCAGTGGTTGCACACAAGCTGCTGGCTCGTGGAGGAAGAAGGGGATGGGGCTTCAAAAAGACCTCAGTCTCCAGCCTCCATCTCTCTTCTGAAATGTGATGGTGACCCCTCCCCTGCCTCCTGGTATAATGTTGCTGCTGAGTGGCCATGTGCACATTGAGCAGTCCACAGCTCACTTGTAGACAATGGGAAGGACAGAAGCAAATGGAGGCAGACACTGGTGAGTGCTGGGAAGAAGCGCAGGGGTCACAGGACAGGCATGCTGGCCCAGATAACAGTATGGTAGGGGGAAGGGCTGCAAAAAGGAAAGGCCACTTCAGGAGAGAGCTGAAAAAGAATTTAGCCAGGGGAAGGGGGGCAGGGTGGACAGGGAGAGTATTCCAGAAAGACAAATGGTCACCTTCAGGCTGGGGCAGAGTGCAGGATGGGAGAACAGCATGAAGGGTCTGGTGCGGTTTGGAAGGAACTCTGTGTGCATGGTGGGGGAAGGGGAGGGGGGAAGAGCAGAGCAGAGCAGACAGTAAGGCTGCACAATGGCGGTGAGTGCTGCTGCAGGACCTGGGCCAAGAGGCCAGAGGGTCACCTGGTAGACTGGTCCCTCCTGCCCCATGGCAGAGAATAAGACCAGTCATTGTTGGGCCTGTTTCCTGGTCCACACTGGGCTGCCATGCAGTCTCCACCATCTGAATCCATCTGCGTCTCGACAGCAGGCAGTAGATGAAAGGGGAGCTTCTCAATCTCATGACTGAGCCTGCAGCAAGCGCACTTCCACCCAGCTTGAAAGAAAGGCGATTCCTGACAAGGGGTGGCAGTTCTGGAGCCAGTATGGGGGCAAAAGGGGCCCCAAAGTGGCTGTGTGGCTGCCCCACCTTGCCCGGGGCTGCCCCCACTGTTGACTTCTTGCCTGTAGCTCCAGCCAGAGCCATTCAACCTCCTGTCCTCTTGCTTCCACTGGCCAGAATAGCTCAAGCTTCCTACAAGGTCAGTGTATGGCTGGGGCTCCCCGCAAAGTGCTCAGTGGGTCACCTGCTCCCTGAGTCTGCAGAACTCAAGCAGGGGCTCCTCCCTGATGGCTAATCTTGGCCCAGTAGCCACATATGCTCTGTGACACAATGGCAGGCTTACTGGAATCGACGCCCAATTAGGTGATCGTTGTTCCAGCTCCTCCATTAAGCTTGGAAAGCACAGTCTATTCCACATGCAGAATTAACAGGAGACAAGTAGCTCTGTGGCCTGGCGCTCCACAGCAGAATGAGGTAATAGGAACAATTTCCTTTGGAAATATTCTGCACTTGGGTGGAGGTGGATAGGACTCTTTCATGTGCCTTGGATTCTATTTTTAAAACTTGGATTGAACTACTGGTCATCAATGTGACTTGAGGTTGCCTGTACTCTGCTCCCCTGAAATCTCGGAAAGCTAGGATGCAGCATTGTGAGCTCAGGGCTCTCTGCCTCATTCCAGGCCACAGGCACATGGCCACACAGTGTCCTTAGCCCCAAGACAGGTCTGTCCTCTGTTACTACCTGTAACTGTAAGAAAGACTTTCCTAACTCCAGTTGCTCAAATGCATCTGCACAATGTCTCCAACCCTGTGCAGCCTGTGCTGACTCCTTACTTCATATTCTCCTCCAGCCAAGGCTCTATACACTTCAATTCAGACTAAACAACACTATCCATGAAAAGGCCTAGAGGCATGGCTCAAGTGGTAGAACACCTGCCTGACAAGTCTGACGCCCCAAGTTCAAACCCCAGTACCACCAAAAATAAAAAACTATCCATAAAATTAGACATCTGATGGGCTTATTTTCCTAATACATATTAAAATAGACATGTACTAAAACAATAAATAAAAACACTTACTCATGTAGTTTTCTCCCACAATCAGCCAGGAACTTGAAATTAGGGCTATGATGCTGCCCTAATCCTAGGCACCTTCTCAAAGTATTTCTAAAACCCACCAGTATTTAGAAACCCACCAGTATTTCTAAAGCCCAGAGGTCTGTCTTATTGTCATAATAAGAAAAGAGATGAGGTGGCCCAAACAATGTACACATATGTGAGTAAATGTAAAAATGATTAAAAAAAAAAAGAAAGAAAAGAGATGAGTGGGAGTGGGACAAAGCAGACCAATGGCTTCTCCTGCCTTCCCATGGCCTGTAAAGAGTGAAGAGGATATCCTAACGGGTGGGGGGGGGGATTATTCCTCTTCCCACTATCCCAGTTGCAGAGGCTGGCTCTACCTGGGCCATCTGGGTAAGGCCCGAATGCAGCCCCTCCCTCTTCTCTCCCTTCCCCAGGATCCAGGAAGCTAAATCCACACCTTCCAGTTTTCCAGCTGCCCAAAGGGAAGCTCCAGGTAGAACCAGAGGGGAGGGCTCCATGACAGCCGTGTGCTACATGGGCAAAGGTCTATGGGGTTATTAGAGAGCAATAGCTCTAGGCCATCCAGGTCTGGGTGTGGGTTGGGGGAAAGGAGTTTCAACAGTTGCTCCCTAGCCCACCAGGCTCCCTCCCCATCATGCTACAAAGCTAACAGGTCTGTGCTAAACATTCCTAGGGTCTGGACTTAGCATCATCAGCCTCCAGATAATAAGCCAGCTCATCCTTGGGGCTTCCAGACCACCAGCTGGCACAGGCCAATTGGTTCAATGACCCCTTGGGACCCACCAGCCACTTTGGGGGCTCTGGCATCATGTTGTACAGGCAGGTCATCTGCTGAGTGATCTCTTAGACATCCCTGGCCATGACCCAGACTTGGTCCAAGTGCATGTGTGTGTCCTGTGTCCACTGCCTAATTCTGCTGGGCACACAGCCCCCACCCCCTGATTGGTGACCTAATCACTTCACACATCACCTTCACCACTTGCTCTCCCCTGGGTCCTCTAATGAGCTCACCTGCCTGAGCTGGAATAGTCATTTCCTATGTTCTAAGGAGGTGAACACCTCGGTAACTTGCACAGCATCTTCAGCTACCGCCAAAGAGGAGCTGTGGGTGCTGATCCCTCCTTCTGTTCCTCCCTCTGAAGACCTGAGTGTCACACACTTGTCTGGCCAACACTCCATGGGAAAGGCCTGTGTCCGCTTGTGTGCAAAAGAAAGGAAAAGACTACATCGCTAAGCTGCTAAGCTGCCAGGTAGCTCCACTGGGCTCAGCTGGCTTCCTGGTGAAGGGAAGAAAGAGGTCCCTGGATAACGCACAACCAACTGGAAGAGGAATGCTGACTTGCAGCACAACCAACCAAAACCTGTCCAGCAACCAGCCTGGAGCTGAGGGTTTTCACACCCTGGAAGCAGAAGCAGGGCCTGTCTGGTGTTGGCCTCAGGCCTATCGGAGCTGTTCAGCTACACAACTGTTCCTGGGCCTAGGGATAGCTGCCCTCCTCTCACCTGGTCACATTCTTAGGCACCACTCATCTCTCCTGCTTTGGAACCCCAGCAAGTCCTCTCTCTAGAAGTGGAGACTCAGCTGAACAGTACAAACAAATGAGGTTAGCTCAGGGAGGCAAGGAAACCCCTTGCACATCCAAAAACTTGATCATTAATTTACTCCCTTGTTCCAAAACCTTCCATGGATTCCTATTTCCTACCACATCCACTTGCTGCCAGATCCCATCTGACTTATCTCATCTCATTCTCCCACAGGCTACTGTGCCCTGGCTTAGATCACCTCTGCCCCAGCCGCCTGGCAAGGGTCATACAAGGTTTACCCAGGGTGCAGGTACAAAGGAAGGAAACGGACCTCTCCCTGTTTTAGAGGAGTCCCTTTGGCCCAGGTCACATGTAGGCAAGGTCAAACACAGGTTAGGAACCACTGAGGAGCTTGGGGGAGTATGTGCCCTGCTTGGGCACCGAGCCTGACAGAGGGTTGGGGAAGAATTAACATGGTGCATCCTTGCTTTGGAGCTCCAGAAGCAGGGATAAAGAATGAGGACTGTATCCACTTCTAAGGAACAGCTTCCACAGACACAGCAGTGCAGGTGTGCACTAAATCTCTGTACAGATGGTTTCCCAAGGGCAGCTCAGATGTGGGTAAGATTCCCTAGGACAAAGGCGACTGGTGCTGTGCTTCCCCATGAGCTGCTCTTATCCAGTGGGTCATGTTAAATACTTGACTGCTGCCTGGCTGGGAGGGTAACATGAAGCACATCTAAGGACTGCTCATCCAGACACAGGAAGATCCCAGGAGCATCTCAAGCATGGTGAGGCTGCTGAACTCTGTACCTCTAACATGGGTCCCACTCCTCCAAGGCCCATGGCTCTGAAACTCTCCAGCTGGTCCTGTGGGGGAAGGGCATTCCTAAGGGTCCGGAGCTGCATAGGAGGCAGCACTGGAGCAACATCAGGCCAGGAAGCAAGGACCAGGCTAAGTATCCCAGTGTGGGAGCCAGGTACTTACTATCAGCAACTTCCCTTGATCCTGGGCTCCTCTGGGAAGGGGCTCCTTCTGCTGATGACCAGAACTTGCGGGAAGGGAGCTAGGGGGCTGTCTCGGATGGAGAACATGGTCAAATATTCCTTTGCAGTTGGGTAGGGGCTCCTCCCCTGACTGCGTCCATATCTGATTAGGTTGGATGCCCCTCCCCAGGTTCTCTGGGGAAGGTTAATAAGCATCCAGGACTGAAGATTACCTTGAAGCCAGGTACCTGGTGACTCCCACATTCTGAAGGAGCCTAAGAAGGGAATGGCTGATTAGTCAAGACTGGACAAGCTAGGCATGGTGACTTAAGCTTGTAATCCTAGCTACTCAGGAGGTAAAGATCAGGAGGATCGAGGTTCAAGGCTAGTCCAGTCAAAAAAGTTCCTGAGATTTCATTTTAACCAGTAAAAAACTGGGTATGGTGGGGTGCACCCATCATCCTAGCTATGTGAGAAGCATAAACAGGAGGACCTTGGTCCGTACATAAAGCAAGACCCTGTACCAAAAATACCTAAAGAAAAAAGGGCTGGGGGGTGTGGCTCAAGCCTGCCTGGCAAACACAAGGTCCTGAGTTCAAACCCCAGTACTGCCAAAAAGAGAAAGAGAGAGAAGAGGGAGAGAAAGAGGGAGAGAAAGAGGGAGGGAGGGAGGGAGGGAGGACCACACAACATCTCTGGGCCAGTGCAATATCACCAGGTCAGAAGTGAGTAGTAGGCCAGCCACATGGCACAGGAAGGCCAAAGGGAGACTGGCAAGCTAATCTTAGTACAATGAGGCACTGGCTGGGATCACAAAATTTGATACTCTTCATAACAAAGCCACTTTGCCATTGTATGGAAGCCTGGGTCCCAGTCCAGTGCCTTCAAGGAGACAGCTGTATCATTTGGAGAGATGCGGGAGAAGAGGGAAGACAATGGGGTGTGGGGATGAGAGACCTGTTGTGACTATTTAGGTCCCAGAGAGAGTCCAGTGCAGCTGCCCCTGCCTGTTGCTCAGTGATGGCAGCTGATTTGTAACACTGACCAGTGTTTCTGGACAGTCACCTGGTCTGGCCCAGCTGACTGTGGGCCTGGTGCATGCCTGGCCCTGAGCTGGGTCTTAAGTTGTCTCTAGCCCTCTGTGTTTCCTCAGCCTGGGAGGCACTGAGCATCCAGTCAGAAGCAGCAACAGCTCCCCAGATGCTGGGGAGGCCCTGGTCCTGCTGATGCAGCATCCTCTCTAGACATAGCACAGGTGGCCTGCCAGGTGGTAGAGCTGAAAAGAAGCCCATTTCCTTCCCCTCTAGACATCCCCCTCCCATAAGCCCACCTGGCTGGCACTGCTGGGACTTCTGCATTCCTCTGGCCTAACTGTATCAGTCTTTTCTCATGGAGCTGTGACACCTAGGCAGAGCACCACTTCCTGTGAAGCCTCATTATCTCATCTGTACACTAGGCCTCCTCTACCCTGAGACAAAAAACATGAAAGAGCTCCTGGGGCTAGAGAGTCTAGTAGCTGGTCAGTACACAGGGCATACAGTCCCTGAGGTCTTCAGGTGTGTCATGAGCCAAGCCCTTGCCCCGCTGTGGGGTGAATAAGGCCTTCCTGGAGAAGCATCTTCATGTTCCAACTCAGGTTTGGTGCCACAGGACACCATCCCTCTGAGGATCAAAACCCTGTGATGTTAGCCTGGCCTAAAGATGGTGGGCAGCCCCACACAGAGAGCAAAGGTCCAGTGGGAAGGCTGACCAAGCAGGACCCCTACCCCACCCCACCATGCACCTTTGGCCACAGATGGGGAGATAGCAAAGGTCTGCCGTAAGGGTGTCCTGGCCATTAGGAGGAAGGCTGGGCCCTGTGCCTAGCCCATCACTACATCTTTCCCAACTCCCCATACACCAGGCATCAAGCATTGAGCTGGTCACCTCATGGGTTCACCCTATACCTGCAGGGCCAGGCAGGGCCAAAGGAAGTGGGGGAGGTAGGGCAGCACATGCTGTGTCCAAGGGAGCAGCTGTGACATAGCCCCCAGTGACTAGTCTACATTGGGACATGGCCAGGGCCACCACAGCATCTAAACTGTCCCAGCAAGTCAGAAATGGAGATTCCCCAAGCCACTTTCTGGGCTGGTGGAGTGGCTCAAGTGGTAGAGTGCCTGCCTAGCAAGCATGAGGCCTGGAGTTCAAACCCAGTGCCACCAAAAAAGAAAAAGAAATCCCAAGCCACTCCCTTATTTCTTAAAGCATTGCATTGGCCATGTTCAGCCCATGAGCAGCCTGGGCACTGCCTGTGATAGATCTCAGAGGACTCAGGAGGTGAGCCTGAGACTCAGAGATGGCTGTATTAGGCTCAGCTCAGGATGGTGACTCAATCCCATGTCTTTCTGCACAGCCGGGTCCCCAAGGTGCCTGCCAGCTGGCCACAACTACTCAGAGGAGGAAGAGCCTGGCCTGGCATTGGGACTATGCAAAAGCTTCACTCCTGGGCCCAGTGGGTCAAACTTGGTCATCTAGATTCAGTCACCTGCTCTGACCTTTCTTTGATGGCAGCAAGGCAACACGTCCCAAGTCCACAGATGAACAGAATGGCTTCCTGACACTGGTCTAAGTCTGGGCCTGGGAAGATGCCAGGCCCTGGCCCCCAGGGGCTCCCAACCAGGGTTTCTGCCTCCTGTACTGGCACTTCTTGGAGGAAACTCCAAGGAGGGAAGTAAGTATGGAGGCAACTCAGGCATTGTGGCCTCTGTTCATCCCTGCCCCAGGACCTTTGCTGATTGGTACTCTCCCATTCACATTGTCTCCTTCCTGAGGTCACTGGGATTCCTTTGCCAGTAGAAGCCCAGGTGGCTTGCTATGGCATGAGGCCTCTGAGAGCAGGGCTCCCCATGCATTCAGACCCTGTGCTTCCTGAAGCCTGATGGACCCATATCCACCCTCTGTTTCCAGACTGTGTATTCTCACGAGCAGAGCAGCTGCACCAGGCAGCCAGCCTTGGGGGCTTACCAGTGCGAGCGCAGGAAGTTCAGAAGAAGGATGACGCTGCCCAGGGAGTAGCAGGCCAAGGAGGGGGACCCAAAGGCTTTGCTCAGCTTGCGTGTTTTCTGTTCCCATCTCGCCACCTACACCAATGGTCAGAAAACAACAGCAAGACATGAGGTACTGGCTGAGGAGAGTCTGGGGTGGGGTGTGGGCAAACAAGTCTCTCTCTGCATTCCCAGGCTCCAGCGCCCAGTTCCAAGTAAGAATTGCAAAAGTATATCTGCCTACATCTCAGGGTGAGAGCCACAGGACTTCTACACTCCCTTGGTCCAGTCTGAATGGACAGCAGGGCCAGCTGCCAACCAAATAATGTGAGCCCACAGAGAAGCACATCCCTGGGCCAAGACCAGGGCAGACTCTCAGGCTCCTGGAGGCTGCAGCATCCCATCAATACATAGGCTCTCAGCAAACAAGAAGCAAAGGCTGCCAAAGGAAGGCTTAGAATACCAGAGGCACAGATCAGGTCTGTGGCCCAGCTCTGGCCATCAGGAACTCCCAGGGGTGCATCCAAGTGGCAGTTGAAGGAAGGGAAGCCCCCCAGTGGCACCCTGCACTCTGCCTAAGAATCTCTTGAAGGCATACGCTTTCAAATGTGTGATTTTTAGTCTCAGAATCCTTTCATATTTTCTAGAAAATGACGTCTAGATCCTCAACATTCAGCAGCTAGCATGAAGGAGAGTAAGCATACAGCTCCCCCGCTTCTCAGCTGGCTCCACCACCCTGAGCTTCCTGCAGATCCTGGCCTAGTTGCTCAGCAGCACTGTGCCTGGCACCCTGATGGTTCATATGCAAGGCATGGAGTGGGAGAAGGGAAGGAAGGGCAGGGAGGATGCAAAAGTGCACACAGTCTGGGCTCAGAATATGAAACCATCCATACATGCATATGTATTTGTAGCCAACCCCCAACTTACAGTGTATCAACTTAGAATTTTTGGACTTTGTGATGATGCAAAAGTGATACATTTTCAGTAGAAATTGGACTTTGAATTTTGAATTTGGTTCTATGCTGGGCTAGTGATATGCAATCCCATCCTCTCTCGCAATGCTGGGCAGTGGTAGAGGGTGCAGCTCCATCAGCCACAGGATCACAAGGGAGAACAACTGACACTCTGCAGTGCACTGTGTAACCAGAACTTTTTGGAATCGGGATTCAATAAACAACATGAGTTATTCAACACTCTATTAGAAATTAGGCTGCAATTTTGCTGTACTGTGAGCTAATGTGTTCTCAGCATGTTGAAGGCAGTGAGGCTGAGCTGTGATGTTCAGTGGGTTAGATGAGTTAAGTGCATTTTTGACTTACGATATTTTCAGTTTACAATGACTCTATCAGCCTGGAGCCCCACTGTAGGTTAAGTATGTTAGGAAGGGTCTCAAAGGCCTCTTTCCATGCTAACACTGCTATCCTGGGTGACATGGGGCTATCTATCACCATCCTGGCCCCTTGATGACTGTCTGCTGCCCAGCCTGGCTTCCCAGAGGACCTGTACCTTTCCCGGAAACTGGTCAGCATTGGGGAGTCATCACCAGTCCAAGGCCACCTACTCCGTCTCCCAGGAGGCAGCTCCAGAGCTGAGTCCCAGAGACCCTGGGCGCCAGTCAGGAATAGTGGAGGAGGGGTGCAGACTGAGGCTTACGGGAAGGAAAGCAAGGGAGGGGCTACCGGGCCTTCACCTCAATCAGTTTCCAGCACAGCCGCCAGCTCTTCTTGAAGGTAAACAGCCCTTTGACCTATCTGACAGGTGGCCTCTGCAGACCCAGTGGGAAGTTCAGTTCTCTCAGAAGGAAGAGGGGTGAGCAGATGGGGCTGGTGTAGGTAAGTATAGGGGTTCCAATGCCCAGTAGCCCCTGGAGGGCCCACGGCCAAAGACAACACACTCCTTAAGGCTGCTTCATGCTTTTCTTTTAATTTTTTAGATGAAACTCAAAGTGGCTTTTAATTATGAAACCATCACCATGACCTCATTTTAGAACACTTCCATCACCCCAAAGAGAAGCTTGAACCCATTAGCAGTCATACACACTGTCCCCCACCCTTTCCCCTCCCCAGACCCTGATAACCACCAGTCTGGATTTGCTATTTTGGACATTCCATGTAAACAGAATCAAACAACATATGGCCTTTTGTGTCTGGCTTCCTCCAATTTGCATGTCATCTTCAAGATTTGTCATGTTACTTATGTATGTGGACTTCAGTCTTTTAGGTGGCTGAATATTATTCCATTGTATAAAGATACCACATTTTGTATACCCAGGATCTAGGTGGTAGACATTTGATTTATACTTTTTGGCAGTTGTGAATAACACTGCTGTGAACATTCATGTCAAAGTTTTCTGTAGATACGTTTTGTCATTTCTCTTGGGTATATACCTAGCAGTGGGAATGCTAGGTCATATCAGAAAAGCCAAACTGTTTTCCACAGGGGTTGTACCATTTTGCATCCCCACCAGCAGTGTACAAAGGCTCCAGTTTCTCCATATCTTCTTCAACAGTTATTTTTTTTCTGGTTTTTAAAATCATAGCCATCCTAGTGGAGTGGTATCTCATGGCTTTCATTTGCATTAAAGCATCTTTTTATACATTCATTGGCCATTTATATACCTTCTTTAGAGAAATGCCCACTCAAATCCATCATTCACTTTTAAAATTGAGTTTATTGTCTTTTTACTGTTGAGTTATATTCACTGTATATATTCTGGAACTAGATGCTTAGCAGACATATGATTTAAAAACATCTCCCATTCTGTGTGTTGTCTTCCCTTTCTTAATAATATCCTTTTTTGGGTGTGGTGGTACACACCTGAAATCTCAGCTAGGCAGGAGGCAGATTTTGGAAGATTAGGTCCAAGGCTGGCCCCAGGCACAAAATGCAAGACCTTATCTGAAAAATAAAGCAAAAAGGACTAGAGGTAGGGCTCGCATTGGGAAGGGTCAACAAGTGGCTTGATGGGTCCTGGGCCAGAGGAAATAGCCAACTTGAATCCAGACTCAAGTCCAGTTCAAGCAAATATGCTGGGGATGAGGTCACAGAGGGGATGGGATCACAGAGGGAACTCGGGAAGGGAGCGAGGGGTCAGTAACTATTAAGAGTCCCAAGGAGTAGGCAATCCTCCCCATTCACAAACAGGGAGGCTGAAGCTCTAGGTTAGTTCTAGGGTCATGTGGCCAGAAACAGTTGTTACTGAACAATCCCTTGGACCCCAGCCCAGAGATCTTTCTAATCCCCAGGCCTAATTTTCTGATTTGCTTTCCAAATGTGCTAGCGTTGGCACACCATGTTCCACTAGTCTGTGACTGTAAGGCCCAACTTTGGGCCACTGATGTGTTTTTCTCCCAGTTGATAAGATAATGCTCTCAGGACATTGAACTCTGTTAGAAACCACGTAAGTTGTCATATCCGTGTACCTGAGGGACATTCCCAGCAGGCTCACATCATGGGGAGAGTACCACATGGAGAGTCAGGGCCTGGGGACTGCACTCCCTTTGCCCAATTCACCCTCTGCACTGAGGGAAGACAGTTTCTTTCTAGGGACCGTTATCCCATCTGTAGAATGGGGAGGTTGATGTTGGCAATCCCTGAGTTGCTAATGTTTCATCTCCTGGGAGTTCAACTTCTGCCTTTCAGAAACCCAGAACTTGGGGCTAGGAGAAGCACAGGAGTAGAGCACTTGCCTAGCGTAAGAGAGGCCCTGGCACTCCAGCACCATGGAAAAGGAAGAAAAAAAGAAAGAAGGAGGGGAGGAAGGAAGGAAGGGATGGAAGGAGGGATGGGCAGAGAGGGGAGGAAAAGAAAAGGAAAGGAAAAAAAAGAAAAGAAAAGAAACTCCATTCAGGGGTCAACGAACAAAGTGGTGGGGAAGAGGAGTGGATGGGTCAAGAGGACTTCTAGGGGATGAAGGTGTTTTAAATCTTGATGGGGGTCATGGTAACACAAGTGCAGACATCTGTCAAGACTGGGAAACTATACACTTAAAAGTGTGCATTTTATTGTATGTACAATATCCCTTCAGGAAGCTGACTGCTAAAATTCAAATCCTTGTAGAACCCGACCTCTAGGCTTAGAAGAGGGGGTACCAACGTCAAGGGTCCTACAGGCCCTCCCTTGTCCCTGAAGATAAGTCTCTCCTTCTGATTTAAAGAGGCCTCCTGACCAGGTCCAAGGACACCCAACTGTGAAAGGCAGGCCAGCCGGAATCCACACTCCCTCACTATCCCCACTTCACAATGTCATGCTGTGTGGTAAGAGGGAGGCCCCCCAGTAGCTGAGCAAGCTGAAGGCCTGGAAAAGCCCAGTAGGTCTCAGGTCTCTGCACTCCCCAGCCTGGCTCTGGTCCCCACTTTTGCTATTCTGGCAACCTTAGTGGGGGAGTGGCTTTCAGGACTACTCTGCCACCCACAGCCTCCCTCACACAGCGAATCCCACCTGTCCCTCAGCCTGGGAAAGGGCGGAAGATGAATTCGCTTTCAGAGCAATCTAATGACAGCCAAGGCTGTGTGGGAAAGGAAAAGAGGAAATGGCCAGCTTTGATTTGATCGCTGCTGTTATTTCAAGGCAATCAATAAATCAGCAGTCAGTGCAACTCCCTGGATCCAAGGTGATTTCCCTCCCAGCCTGATAGCTCTGCTGGCCCCTCTTCTGGTGCTCGGCTGCAAACTTCATCCAATTATGGGGCTGGAAGCAGACAGTGAGTGAGGCACCAGGGCTGTCGCCAGAGACCAGGGTTACATGCCGCAGGGGCCCTTGTGTGAGGCAGGAGGCAGGGTGACTGGGCACTCTGCTGTCACTGTTTCAGGTTGCAATCATCTCCCAAATTTCCAGAATCCCAGCTCACTCCTAAACTCCCTCTCCCTAAGTTTGCCAGACAGATACAGGAGTCCCTGGGGTAAACTAGAATGTCAGATGGACAAGTAATTGTTTGTCTATGTTGTCCCAAATATCACATGGGACTTCTCTTCATGCTGTTGTTTACTTGCAATTCACACTCCTGAGGGCCTGTACTTGTATTTGCTCCGGCCGCCCTGCCTCTCCACACTGGACCAGGAGCCACCAGCTCAGCTCCGTCACATACAGGCCACTAC